GGTGTCAGAAGTGTTCTTAAGTGGTAGGTTCTGGCACCAGGTGAGTGTACTTACCTTGCTGTGCTTGCTGGGGTTGAATCATAGTTTATTTCCAGTCGAGTTTGAATATGTCTTGAGATGAGACATAGGTGTACATGTCATAGGTGACTAGCAGTATGTGTGCTCACACTCTGTCCTTCCAACACTGTGTTTATGTACACACTATGGGTGTCCTCAGCTCACTGTGTGACTGTGTGTGTGTGTACACTGAGTGTACACGGCTGACTGTGTGAGAGTATATGTACACAGTGTGAGTATCCCCCGCTCACTGGAGCTGGTCGATACTGGTCACCAAGCTACCAGCCTGCTACAGTGTGGTCACCACGCCGCCGCTAACTTTCTCTCTCTCTCTCTCTCTTTTCTACAAGCACTTACACATCTCTCTCTCACTTCTCTCTTTAAAACGTTTAGTTATTCCCTTTTTATCTCCCTCTCCTCTGCTTTCTTGCTCTTCTCGCATCTCGTGTGTCGAGTCACACCTTCCCTCTTTTGTCTCTCACCCCTGACTGACACCAAGCTTTCTCTCTCTCTCTCTCTCTCTCTCTTCTCTCTCTATATATATATTATATATATATATATATATATATCTCTCTCTCTCTCTCTCTCTCTCTCTCTCTATCTATCCATCTATCTATCTATCTCTATTGTATGTGAGGGATTTATTTTGCTTTTTAGTAAGGTTTTCAACATTTCTGGTTGTATTCTGATGCCTCTGAGATGTCCACTTGATCATACACCACCAAGGTTATCCTGAAGGAGGTGCTTCCTCCGTCAGGAAACACGACAAGTCGTCTCCAGACCACTGACCAGGTCAGTGGCTGAGCCAGCTTACACCAGAGTGTAGAACTGTGGTTCCATATCCAAGATCAAATTATTGTCCTTATCTCCTCATTAACTAGAGAGTACTCATAAAATCGCCATTAATGAAATAAATTTTTCTATAATATAGTGAAAAAAAAAAATATTGCATAGCAATGAAAGTTATACAGAAATACTTCCATTTTTTTAAGTCTTTCAAGATAAAAAAAATCAAAAGGAGCCATGACGAGGCAGCGAGTAAAACTGTAAATGGAATTATAGTTTAGTTATATCGAGACAATTAAGTGTGTCAAGTGTGAGATATGAGAGAGACATTTGAGTGATTGTTTCTTGCGTGAGAGACGGGAGACTGAGAGATGGGAGACAGTGAGAGATGGGAGACAGTGAGAGATGGGAGACAGTGAGAGATGGGAGACTGAGAGATGACTGACGGTGATAGTGAGAGATGGGAGACTGAGAGATGACTGACGGTGATAGTGAGAGATGGGAGACAGTGAGAGATGGGAGACAGTGAGAGATGGGAGACTGAGAGATGACTGACGGTGATAGTGAGAGATGGGAGACATTGAGAGATGGGAGACAGTGAGAGATGGGAGACAGTGAGAGATGGGAGACAGTGAGAGATGGGAGACAGCGAGAGATGGGAGACTGAGAGATGACTGACGGTGACAGTGAGAGATGGGAGACAGTGAGAGATAGGAGACAGTGAGAGATGGGAGACAGCGAGAGATGGGAGACTGAGAGATGACTGACGGTGATAGTGAGAGATGGGAGACATTGAGAGATGGGAGACAGTGAGAGATGGGAGACAGTGAGAGATGGGAGACAGTGAGAGATGGGAGACAGCGAGAGATGGGAGACTGAGAGATGACTGACGGTGATAGTGAGAGATGGGAGACAGTGAGAGATGGGAGACAGTGGGAGATGGGAGACAGCGAGAGAGACGGGAGACTGAGAGATGACTGACGGTGACAGTGAGAGATGGGAGACAGTGAGAGATAGGAGACAGTGAGAGATGGGAGACAGCGAGAGATGGGAGACTGAGAGATGACTGACGGTGATAGTGAGAGATGGGAGAGAGTGAGAGATGGGAGACAGTGAGAGATGGGAGAGAGTGAGAGATGGGAGACAGTGAGAGATGGGAGACAGCGAGAGATGGGAGACAGCGAGAGACGGGAGACTGAGAGATGACTGACGGTGACAGACGGGTGACAGTGAGAGATAGCTGACGGTGACAGACGAGTGACAGTGAGAGATGACTGACGGTGATAGACGAGTGACAGTGAGAGATGGGAGGTAGTGAGAGATGGGAGACTGAGAGATGACTGACTGTGACAGACGGGTGACAGTGAGAGATGGGAGACAGAGAGATGACTGACGGTGGCAGACGGGTGACAGTGAGAGATGGGAGACAGTGAGAGATGACTGACGGTGACAGACGGGTGACGGTGACTGATGGGAGACAGTGAGAAATGGGAGACAGTGAGAGATACCAAGAAACACACACGTCTTCAACTCGTCTCCATGACCTTAATCTCTCGTCAAACTTCCTTACAAATTTACTTGACCCCTGCACGGCCTACGCCAGGCTAGGCCTTCCCTGGCGCGGCCGCCGCACAGCCTTATGACAATATGGAAATCGATTTCACATGATATATAACACAAGTCACAAAACCATGACTGGAACAATTCACAAATAACCCGCATTTCGAAGACTGTGTCCATATATACAAGTTTGAATGCAGTTGGTACTAAAGAAGTTTACCGGTTCGATTCCCGGGCAAAGCGAGATCAATGAGTAAGTCTCCTCAGTTGAGCAGCCTGTGTTCAACTAGGAGTAAATAGGTACCTGGGTGTTAAGTGGCTGTTGTATGTAGCATCCTGGGTATGTTCATACAGAAGGTGTGTGTGTGTGTGTGTGTGTGTGTGTGTGTGTGTGTGTGTGTGTGTACTCACCTATTTGTGGTTGCAGGGGTCGAGTCCTAGCTCCTGGCCCCGCCTCTTCACCGGTTGCTACTAGGCCCTCTCTCTCCCCGCTCCATGAGCTTTATCAAACCTCGTCTTAAAACTGTGTATGGTTCCTGCCTCCACTACGTCATTTTCTAGGCTATTCCACTGCCTTACAACTCTATGACTGAAGAAATACTTCCTACTATCTCTTGACTCATTTGTGTCTTCAACTTCCAATTGTGGCTCTTGTTTCTGTGTCCCCTCCCTGGAACATCCTGTCTTTGTCCACCTTGTCTATTCCACGCAGTATTTTATATGTCGTTATCATGTCTCCCCTGACCCTCCTGTCCTCAGTGTGGTCAGGCCGATTTCCCTTAATCTTTCCTCATAGGACATTCCCTTAGCTCTGGAACTAACCTTGTCGCAAACCTTTGTACTTTCTCTAGTTTCTTGACGTGCTTTATCAAGTGCGGGTTCCAAACAGGTGCTGCATACTCCAGTATGGCTGACATACACGGTGTACAGTGTCTTGAATGATTCCTTACTAAGGTATCGGAATGCTGTTCTCAGGTTGCCAGGCGCCCATATGCTGCAGCATGTTATCGATTGATGTGTGCTTCCGGAGACACTCGGTTTATACTCACCCAGACCCTTATTCTCATTGATGAGTTGCAGTCTTGGCCACCTAGCTTTACTTGTCTGGTCTTCTGTGCCCTCCCCCATCTCATGGACTTGCATTTGGCAGGATTAAATTCGAAGCCATTTGCTGACAGGTGCCAGTCTGTCCAGTCTCTTTGAATCCTGCTGGTCTCATCAGATTTAATCTACTCATAACTACAATCATCTCAAACATGGGACACTTCTGATCTAACCCTTCGTCATGTCGTTCACATATACAAAATAGCATGGTACTAGGACGACCTGTGGGACCCCGTCGATCACAGGGCACACGTGATACATCATTAACGTACCATACTCGTTGTGCCCTGTCAGGTATTCTGGTGTGTATAGTGTTGTGTGTGTGGTGTTGTGTGTGTGTGTGTGTGTGTGTGTGTGTTATGTGTTATGGTGTATGTGTGTGTGTGTGTGTGTGTGTGTGTGTGTGTGTGTGTGTGTGTGTGTGTGTGTGTGTGTGTGTGTGTGTGTGTGCGAGTGTGTGTGTGTGTGTGTGTGTGTGTGTGTGTCTTCTTGATGGGGGTCATATGGCCGCTAACAACAGCCTGGTTGAACAGGAGATCAACAAGTAGACGTGACCTCAAGCCAGGTTTCGAGGGTCACAGGATGAACTGCAAGAAAGATCCTTGAAACAAACCTTTCTCTTTAAAAAAATTGCTTGTGACCTCGCATATACTTAGAATACTTTATAGAAAGTATCCTTGGACTCCACCCTTAACACCCTTATCCAATGTTCTCCCCTACACAACCTTCCCCAGTGCTCTCTCCCCTACGCAACCTTCCCCAATGCTCTCTTCCCTACGCAACCTTCCCCAGTGTTCTCTCCCCTACGCAACCTTCCCCAGTGCTCTCTCCCCTACGCAACCTTCCCCAGTGTTCTCTCCCTACGCAACTCCCCGTGCTCTCTCCCTACCAACCTTCCCCAGTGTTCTCTCCCCTACACAACCTTCCAGTGTTCTTCCCTACACACTTCCCCAGTGTTCTCTCCCCTACACAACCTTCCCCAGTGCTCTCTCCCCTACGCAACCTTCCCCAGTGCTCTCTCCCCTACGCAACCTTCCCCAGTGCTCTCTCCCCTACACAACCTTCCCCAGTGCTCTCTCCCCTACGCAACCTTCCCCAGTGTTCTCTCCCCTACACAACCTTCCCCAGTGCTCTCTCCCCTACACAACCCCCTTATCAGTGAATGTGAGAGGTGATCCCGGGGTGGTTATGCCATTCCCCGTCATGAGACATATGGATACTACATTGACGTCTCTGTTGGTATACTACAGCACTGTTTACAGTAGCCCACGTCTGGGGTTGCTACTTGCCAACCCCAGAGACAACTGCACTACTAAGCGGGTCACTACCAGACAAACACTTGAGTCAGCGACTTATCCCAAGAATGATAGAGCTAAAATAATTATTTATTAGAGTGTTACTCCTCCACGTCGGGGACTGACTGGTGGACAAGGAACGGTAGACTGAAGATTGACTGGTGGAGTAGGAAAGGTAGACCGAGCGAGGGGACATACCTGATAGAATCGACGTATTTCTTCTCCATCTTGAGAGCTGCCTGGTGCTGGCTGGTGGAGTAGGAACGGTAGGCTGAAGACTGCTCTGTGGTGTACTCCATGTGAGCCTTCTCATCATAGAGAGCAGTGTGCTGCCAGCGACGTGCGTTCGGCTGAGAGTGGGGACATCGATGCCTCCTGCAAAGAACACAAGAGGTGAGTTCGACGCGTGGGAGGACCTGTTTACTCCTGCTGCCGTGGGAGGGGTTAATGCAACAGGTACACTACTACTACCCACTGACTCAGTGGTGGGGAGAGACAGATGAACAGGAGGGACAAACACACACATAAGTATATCACAGGTATATACACACTTAAGAGCTGGTTGATTGATTGTGCTTAAAGTCTGTCGACTTCACGAGGGTCATGAAGGCCGCATGTCGCCTGTACACTTCCAGTCAAGGATACTTTAATATCGAAAATAGGGATTAAATAAAGCCCTCGGTATATATACAGTGAGATATATACACTGAGACATACAATTCTCCTTGTATACGTACTGATAGATAAACGCTTTTTGGCGTATATGCATTGAGAAGATATCGTAACAAAACTTAACCTAACCTAGTTATCCACAGTAACCTTGCCTAACTTAACTAAGTCATGACAGATACATAAAGTTTTTGTCCCAACCAACAGAATGTCAGGTGTAAAAAAAGACTACCCATACGTCTCGCCCTGCCCAAGATGCCACCCCCACCAGCCGACTGATACTTGGTTACATATTCAGTGTTGGATGATCATATGCAGCTGGTGTAAGGTAACTTAGAGGAGAGGCTGTTGTGGTGAGGCTGAGCGGCGCTGGAGAGAATCAGGTGAACATGAGGCACTTGTGACTAAATTAGGAGGTAGGAGGTAGAGAGAAAGAAGCAGGAATCATAAGAGAAACTAGATGACCTTGACACCTGAGATATATTAGGAGAATCACACAGGTGATTAAATTAACATATATATATATATATATATATATATATATATATTATATATATAGTCACATGGGGAACCTTGTCAGACTCCCCTGACGTGGTTTCGTCTCCCACCTAGGTAGGGTGAGAGACGGCTGGAAACTGTCCTGTGTCCATTGATTTATTGTAGATCTCGGTTGGTGGGTCAAACAGTGCTTCTGTTCCCTCTCGCAGAATTAAATTATTGCGACATTTTGTCAGGTCATTGCCTCTCATGTATCCAGCTCCATCAAAAGAAGTTCCTTTTTACCTCTTTCCCCATTGCGTGTAAGGTGTCCAGGACCTGCTGGAGTCCCCACTTGTTTAGTCTTTCTGGTATTGCCTCGATTTCCACAGACAAGTTTAATTGAAATCGTTTGTTCAGCTCTTCACAGACTTCCTTGTTATTTTTATTTCTTTTTTTTTTGCGAGTTCACGTCCTCACTTCTTCAGCTGGATTACCTGGTCATTCACTGTCACTTTCTTCTGATGTGGCTGTAATGGTTCAGACTTGGCCTTAGCTGCTTTGTCATTCTCAAACTGTCCTCTCTCCTCACACTTATATGTTCATTTCTGGCTAATCTGTTCACTTCACTGTTCCCCTCCGTACTTCGCTTCCTGTAGTTTCTCTACGCTCATATGCTTCTCTTTTTTTTACTTCTCTGCATCCCTGGTTAAACCAAGGACTCTCTTTGTTGTTCTTGTTTCCGCTGCTGCCTCCCAGCCAGGTACTCCATCTCGCCCAGTGATTTTTCCTTCCAGTTATCTTTCCCACTGCACCGTATTAAGGCATTCCCTCGTCCCTGTGTGTACTCACTCACTTATATGTGGTTGCAGGGGTCGAGTCACAGCTCCGGTGTGTGTGTACTAAATATCAGGTAAATAGGATGGTCATAGATAGATAAGGCTCTCTCTCTCTCTCTCTCTCTCCTCTCTCTCTTCTCTCTCTCTCTCTCTCTCTCTCTCTCTCTCTCTCTCTCTACTCACTCACTTTCCCTCTCACCCTCGTCACGGTAGGATAGAAAGACTAAATCCACCCTAAGTACAGGAACAAGGTACAAAAACGTAATCATAGTTCCTGTGGTTCGAGCGTGAAGACCCTGGCGTCTTGTAAGAAGGTGCTTCTTGAGAAGGTAGTAAGATGTATATTACTTCTTGAGAATGTTGTAAGGTGCGTCTTAAGAAGGTTCCAACAACATCTTATCAAGTACATCACTCTCCTTATATTAAGTTGATAGTTTTTGTAAACAAAAGTGGGTACACCCACAGTGCGCTGCTACACTGTTCTATATGATAGTTACACAGTGGGAACACCGGCAGTGCGCTGCTACACTGTTCTATATGATAGTTACACAGTGGGAACACCGGCAGTGCGCTGCTACACTGTTCTATATGATAGTTACACAGTGGGAACACCGGCAGTGCGCTGCTACACTGTTCTATATGATAGTTACACAGTGGGAACACCGGCAGTGCGCTGCTACACTGTTCTATATGATAGTTACACAGTGGGAACACCGGCAGTGCGCTGCTACACTGTTCTATATGATAGTTACACAGTGGAACACCGGCAGTGCGCTGCTACACTGTTCTATATGATAGTTACACAGTGGAACACCGGCAGTGCGCTGCTACACTGTTCTATATGATAGTTACACAGTGGGAACACCGGCAGTGCGCTGCTACACTGTTCTATATGATAGTTACACAGTGGGAACACCGGCAGTGCGCTGCTACACTGTTCTATGATAGTTACACAGTGGGAACACCGGCAGCGCGCTGCTACACTGTTCTATATGATAGTTACACAGTGGGAACACCGCAGTGCGCTGCTACACTGTTCTATATGATAGTTACACAGTGGGAACACCGGCAGTGCGCTGCTACACTGTTCTATATGATAGTTACACAGTGGGAACAAAAGCTAGCTACGTTTTGCTGTAATATTCCAAGATTTTAGTATTGTCAGCTTGAACTGGGAGACTTCAGTAGTGTCAGCTTGAGCTGGGAGACTTCAGTATTGTCAGCCTGAGCTGGGAGACTTCAGTATTGTCACCCTGAGCTGGGAGACTTCAGTATTGTCAGCCTGAGCTGGGAGACTTCAGTAGTGTCAGCTTGAGCTGGGAGACTTTAGTATTGTCAGTCTGAGATGGAAGACTTCAGTATTGTCAGCCTGAGGTTGGAGACTTCAGTATTGTCAGTCTGAGCTGGGAGACTTCAGTAGTGTCAGCCTGACCTGGGAGACTTCAGTAGTGTCAGCTTGAGCTGGGAGACTTCAGTATTGTCAGCCTGAGCTGGGAGACTTCAATAGTGTCAGCTTGAGCTGGGAAACTTCAGTATTGTCAGTCTGAGCTGGGAGACTTCAGTAGTGTCAGCTTGAGCTGGGAGACTTCAGTATTGTCAGCCTGAGCTGGGAGACTTCAGTAGTGTCAGCTTGAGCTGGGAGACTTCAGTATTGTCAGTCTGAGATGGGAGACTTCAGTAGTGTCAGCTTGAGCTGGGAGACTTCAGTAGTGTCAGCTTGAGCTGGGAGACTTCAGTATTGTCAGCCTGAGCTGGGAGACTTCAGTAGTGTCAGCTTGAGGACTTCAGTATTGTCAGTCTGAGGTTGGAGACTTCAGTATTGTCAGCCTGAGCTGGGAGACTTCAGTAGTGTCAGCCTGAGCTGGGAGACTTCAGTAGTGTCAGCTTGAGCTGGGAGACTTCATTATTGTCAGTCTGAGCTGGGAGACTTCAGTATTGTCAGTCTGAGGTTGGAGACTTCAGTATTGTCAGCCTGAGCTGGGAGACTTCAGTAGTGTCAGCTTGAGCTGGGAGACTTCAGTATTGTCAGTCTGAGCTGGAAGACTTCAGTAGTGTCAGCCTGAGCTGGGAGACTTCAGTAGTGTCAGCTTGAGCTGGGAGACTTCAGTATTGTCAGTCTGAGCTGGAAGACTTCAGTAGTGTCAGCTTGAGCTGGGAGACTTCAGTATTGTCAGTCTGAGGTTGAAGACTTCAGTATTGTCAGTCTGAGGTTGAAGACTTCAGTATTGTCAGTCTGAGGTTGAAGACTTCAGTATTGTCAGTCTGAGGTTGAAGACTTCAGTATTGTCAGTCTGAGGTTGAAGACTTCAGCATTGTCAGTCTGAGGTTGAAGACTTCAGCATTGTCAGTCTGAGGTTGAAGACTTCAGTATTGTCAGTCTGAGGTTGAAGACTTCAGCATTGTCAGTCCGAGGTTGAAGACTTCAGCATTGTCAGTCTGAGGTTGAAGACTTCAGTATTGTCAGTCTGAGGTTGAAGACTTCAGCATTGTCAGTCTGAGGTTGAAGACTTCAGTATTGTCAGTCTGAGGTTGAAGACTTCAGCATTGTCAGTCTGAGGTTGAAGACTTCAGCATTGTCAGTCTGAGGTTGAAGACTTCAGCATTGTCAGTCTGAGGTTGAAGACTTCAGCATTGTCAGTCTGAGGTTGAAGACTTCAGCATTGTCAGTCTGAGGTTGAAGACCTCAGAAGAACACTGAGGATATCGTCAAGTATTGCATTAAAGGTTCATCAGCTACGAGACGTTCAAGGGTTTCCTGCCAGCACAGCTGCAGTTACTGTCACTTGGGAATCACCATTCCACGGGATGGCCTGACAAGTAGGGTATGGGCGTGGGCGTGGGCGTGGGCGTGGGCGTGTGAATGAATTCGGGTAGATGGAAGGGGTTAGTGTTGAGTGTAAATTAGCAGGGATACCATAGTTGACTTGCATAGGTCCTTTTTACCTATTACAATTAGAGTTTTTGTCAGTACAAGTGAAGTAGAGTACAAGTAGAGTTTTAGTCAGTACAAGTGAAGTAGAGTGCCACTTTGTGCAGCTTAAGTAGAGTTTGCATCATAATATTCATGCCAGTGGTCACCAGACTAGTCGTATTTTTAGACAAAAGTGTTTCTGTAAACCAGCTACACTTATTGTATGTAGGTGTGACCTACACTGTGACTCTCCCTGTCTTGTAACACACCACACAGTGTGACCTACACTGTGACTCTCCCTGTCTTGTAACACACCACACAGTGTGACCTACACTGTGACTCTCCCTGTCTTGTAACACACCACACAGTGTGACCTACACTGTGACTCTCCCTGTCTTGTAACACACCACACAGTGTGACCTACACTGTGACTCTCCCTGTCTTGTAACACACCACATAGTGTGACCTACACCATGACT